GGTTGCCCGTTGATGGTAAAGTTACTTAGAGTCATTATAATGTCTGTTAGAGGACCATTACAATAAAGAGTTTGCAGATATTAAGCAGACAGTCTACTAATACTCTGATAGTTGACATGAAGTTCCTCAATTACCCCTTTTCCACCAAAAAAGAACTGGTTCGGAACTGGTGCTGGTTCAAAGTTGGTTCGGAGTTGGTTCAACTTGCGAACCGCTTCAGAACCTATTTGTTTTTCCACTGACTAGTGCGCCCAGGGAACGACGTCGTTACGTCACTGTGTACGTCACCATAAGTCTTAGCTAGAAACACTTGCAAATACAACATTACTTTTGGATTATCTCTTAACTCGTATACCAAGAAAGCTTTAAAAACAATTGAAATATGTAAGTATTTTAATCTTTTCGTTTGATATGTAATTTTTTCTGATAAGTTACGTACCCCTGTAATTGTGTCTTTTTTAATTTCCATTTATTTGTTCTATATTGTGACTTTTCTTCTTTGCTTATAATGTCTTCAATAAAAAAAATTACAAAAATAGAAACGCTTGCGTTAACTTCAAGCATAACAATTACAAAGGCGGACTGGCCGAGAACTGTTTCTTTGGCTGTCGAAACACAAAGAACTGGTTCGCGCGCAGTCACCGGCTCCGAACCGGCTCTCAAAATACTTTGGTGGAAAAGGGGCTATAGTCAACAGAGTGTTCAAAAGGGACGATCAAAATAAAGTGTTCCCGAAAAAAAGAAAAAAAAAAAGAAATCACAATCCATTGGTCTGTCATTTTTTCACTTTGCTCACGAGCATGCTTCGCCTCTAGGCATCAAGTATACTATACTGGGTGCATGGTTTCTTTTTAGGTGTTAGCTAAAAGCTGCACCCTAATGAGATGTTGTGCTGCCGCTGCGGCAGGCTGGTCCATTTCTTATACGTTTATTGATTTTATAGAAAGATATTCCAGTACCCGAATCCTTCAAAAAGTTAACAGCTTTATGCGTACTTATACTTCACAACATAATTTGCCGAATATCATCCAGTCTTTGAAATTCAAAGATTCTCGGTGAAAGAAGATAAAGAAGATTCTGTATACTTTTATAATCAAATTAACTTCCTTTTTAGCCTTTTGAGTTGCGCAGAATGCTTTGCCTCTGTGCAAGATTGTGCCCTTTAAGTCTTTAAAATTCAGTTTACCTGTGGGACTGACTGTGCTTCATCTTTGGATAGTGGGGCCTACTCCACCTGGTTAATAGGCCTAATACTATATAGGTTTGTGTTGTGGCAGGCTGACCCTTTCCACCCATATTCATGGGTATTTATTGTTGAACTGGGTTGTCCCAAGGCTTAGACTCATTTGGGTTAATCCATTCCTTAGACCAGGAATGGGCAACTTCAGACCTGGAGGGCCACTGTCCTACAGAGTTTAGCTCCAACCCCGAAAATTAGCTTGTTCAGATGTGTTTGATTAGGGTTGAAGCAACTCTGTACACTCTCAGAAAAAAATGTACAAAAGCTGTCACTGGGGCTGTACCTTTTAAAAAGGTAAACGTTTGTCCATTCTAGGTGCTAATATGTACATTTCAGGTGCTAATATGGACATTTTATGTACCAATATATGCATTTCAGGTGCTATTATGTACATTTCAGCTGCTAATATGTGCATTTCAGGAGCTAATGTCTATTTTAGGTCCTAATGTGTATGTTTTAGGTGCTAATATGTACATTTTAGGTGCTAATTTGTACATTTTAGGTGCTAATATGTTCATTTTACGTCCTAATATGTACATTTTAGGTGTTAATATGTACATTTTAGGTGCTAATATGTACACTAAGGTACCAATATGCAGCCTTTGGGTACAAAAGTGTACCTTTTTAAAAGGTACAGCCCCAGTGACGGCTTTTGTACCTTTTTTTCTGAGAGTAGGACAATGGCCCTCCAGGACTGAAGTTGCCGATCCCTGCCTTAAACCAAAGGGTTTGTGCTTGTGTATACTTCACCTTCAACCTCGTTGGTCAGGCTTTTTTTCCCTCAGTATGGCGATATGGGTATAAATGTTCCTATAGCATCGACGTCATGATGCAGTGTTCAGTTCCACTCGAAAGGGAACGCCTCAGGTTATGTATGTAGCCCTGTCACTGAGAGAGGAACGAGACTCTCCGTCACTTTGCCATAGATCACACAATGCCTGAAAACATCCTTCAAGAAATTATAATATGGTGGCATGCATCTATTTAGATGGGGTGGTGATGGCGCAGTGGATAAGACACATGCCTTTGGTGTGAGAGACCCGGGTTCGAATCGCCTGTGAGACACCAATGTGTCCCTGGACAAGACACTTAACCCCTAGTTGCTCCAGAGGCGTGCGACCTCCGACATGTATAGCAATTGTAAGTCGCTTTAGATAAAAGCGTCAGCTAAATGAATAAATGTAAATTTATGGTCTCGGTGATGCGAACAGCTATGTCACCTGACCATGCTGTAGGCCAATAGAATTGGCGTGTTTTCACACGTCCATCAGACACCAGCTCACACAACATCTCTTTCCCCTCTCAGGGAACCCCCTTACATACATAACCTCAGAGCTATATAGAATTAATTTATTATGGTGTAGTTTATATTATCGTAATTACCAATTCAAAAGATCAATTCTTTGTCAAATCGGACATTTTTAGTCAGGAGTGATGCTGCTCCCGCTTTTACCTGGTATTGTCGTATCAATATTTTGTCAATATTGTCGTATTGTCGCACCTCACTGGGTGTGTTAACTATTGCTCACACATCCTATTGTTTTCTCAAGCATGAGCTTTAGCCTGACAAGACTGAGAGGAACTAAACAGAGTGTGGATGCACTGACCTTTCAGTGTTTCTGGACGAGTGCATCTTCAGTTTGTTGAGAATCTGCCCAGTCACTGTTGTACATGTCAAACCAAATCATTTTAGCTGAGTCACCAGCACCTTTATATTTACCACACTCGTTTTAAACCGAATCATTTAAGGACATAAACTTGCAACACTCCTGGTAAAAATTGCATTGTGTTTCCAACTATTCATTTATTTTGTAAATGACATAATTATTTAACATCAGGTAAATTAAATAAGGGTTCTTAACGTGAAACCAAGCAATTTTCAAATCCTTGTTCAAAAATAACCATTACTTCAGCCTACACACTCGGCACGCCTCACACCTCTTCTTGTATTCAGAAGACTCTTTAGGATATTTACTTTTATTCAACGGCAGGAAACGAGAGCCGAACAATAAATGCAGTGTCAGGGGCTCAGGTCCTCTGAGCATAACCACTGGGTGGCTATTGTCTGAACTTCCTGTTAACGTGTGTATAATACACACTTAAACTCCTGTCGGTTCAGGGCGACACGGCCATCTGGGAAACATATTGGAGAGTTTGTGCTTTAAACCAATGCAAGAAATAAGCTTTTGCAGAGCTTCAAATGCTTTGCATTGTTTGGGGAAAAGTACTAAGAGTACTTATTTTATAAAAGTGTTCTGTCAAAATTGTGTAAAATATAAACCAAATTAAAAATAAAAATAAACACTGTAATAAAATATTGTTGGTTTAACTTAAAAAATTAAGTAATCTGGCTGCCTTAAAAATTTAAGTTCATTGGAATGGAAAAATTGAGTTAATACAATGAAGGTGATTGATATAATCATCAGAAACTTAAAAAATTATGTTAACTGAACTACATAAAATATTTAAGTTGATTTGACAAAAGAAATGATTGTTGTGATTACAAATCATGAAAATATTTTTTTTTATAGTGATGAATTTTTTTTTTTACTTTGGCATTGTTTTAACCATTTTGCACTACAACAACTATAAAATTAAGCTCATATCTGCATGCCTCATATTAAATATTTGCAAGTTGTGGCATCTAATGCCAGTGTTCCTGCTTTTTAACTGTGGCACACCTGTACTGTTGAATACAACATGGTTAAAAAGTAAGTGATTGTAAAGTACGTTTTTGTCACTGAATGTGATAAGATAATGAAAGACAGGGTGGCACAAAAAAACCCAAGAAAAAGACAGCATATCACAAAAAAAGAAAATAATAGAGCAGTGTCAGGATCACAAACAAATTACTTTTTTAAACAGGTTTTTAAAAGATAGCATAGCAAATATAAAAACCCATAGGAAAACGCTTGAGGAAACCAGCTACTCTTCCAGGTTATGGCATTAAGTCTTCAGAAGAGCAAATTCAATTCAATATTCAACAAAATCAGAAGAAGTTAATCCAGACATCATTTATTCGCCTTTTTGTACTAAATTTATCAATATGGAATGAAATTATGACTACCATTTTCCAAATCCAAATTACTTGTCCTGTAAGGATGCAGCTTGAGTCTTTCCCAACACCTTGGGCTGAAAGCAGGGAAACACCTTGGACACGTGGCCAGTCCATCACAGGGCTCTCACACACACACTCACACTTTGGACAGTTTAGGGTCTCCAGTTCACCTATCCTGTTCACTATCTTTGGACGCTAACATGGGTTAAACATGCGAACTCCACACAAAAGGCCTCCATGGCTCCTGGACTCAAACTGCTGCGCTGAGCCGTCACAATGAATCATATTTTTCACAATTTGTCGTCAATTTTTCACATTTCAACTTTCAACAATATGCTCAAGTCTAAATATTAGATCGGAATCGATTTAACATGGAATAGAGTCGATTCAACATTTCTCTAGCTGAGGATGTGATCGTTGTTGCCATGTTGCATATCACTTGTTGCCAAAAATATGATGCTTTTATCTGTTATTTATTTGCATTGTACTGTGATTTTCCAGTCAAATTAGGGAAAATTAGGGAAAAAAGATGTGTCGAATTGTCATATTATAACACGTAAAAACTCACACACACTGCATCATCATGTCGCCACAGAGAGGGGGTCTCCATGGTAACGCGCCATGAAGAGGCTGCAGTCCCCGAGGAAGAGCGTCCGCGCGCGCGCACGTGTGTATGTGTGTGTGGATCTGGTCATGTGGTCTCACAAGATGGCGACTCCAGTGCTGGGATGTGAGGAGTGAATCAGACCTGCAGTAAAACACACCGCGCTCATCACAACTGCTGCTCACACACACCCGATCATCTCTCCTCACACAACACACTCATTCTCCAGTGTTCGCTGTTGGATTCGCTGGGATTTAAAGTTTAGCTCGGCAACATCGCTAATGTAGGATTCCTAGACTGGACAATTCATCAAAACCCCATCGCCTTCACAATATAAATCATACAGTCAGAGTCGTTCCTTGTGAAATAACTTTGGATGTGAGGAAATAAGGCAGATTGTGTGTGTGTGTTGTTCAAACCTTTGTCCATCTGGATCACTGACTGCAATGGCCATCCATGTGTTCGGTGAGTCGATCATATTTCATCGATTTTATTATGGTTCTTATGCCAACAGATCGCGTGTGTAATATGTGTGAAAGCAAACACACACATGGGTTTGACAGATTTCCCTTTGGGCCCGTGATGTTGTGCTTCATAACATTTTATTGTATATTTTTTTCAGTGATAGTAACATCTGTTTATTTGCATTGTTGCGTGCAGATGAGCAAGTCACAATGAATGAGATCATGCGGTCAAAATAAGTTTGACTTCACCCTGCAGTTTGCCATTGTTCTGATGATATTGAAGCAGATCAGGTTATTCTTATCTTTTGTTTGTCTTCATTTGCTTTGTTGAAGTAGTCAGTATCTTCCTTCATATAGCAACAGGTTAATAGCGTTGAACCAGAATGGAAAAAAACACATGTTGACATGTTCTGACTTTATCTAAAATATTTTAATCATAAATTAATATGCAAGATGTTTATGAGCTCATATTGATTATTGGACTATAGAATAAGCGCTTTATAAATTTAATCAAGAATAATGTCACTGCAGGACCATGAACTTGTGAACAAAAGGTTATTCAAATGAGTGAATAACAACCATCTAAATGCACACTTGATATACATGTGAACCTAAAACCTGAATTTTATTCAAAACAAGCTCTTGGACATGTTGTATATCAGGATATGGCCTCAAACACTTGTTGACATTATGGAGAAAAAAAACGGGGACGAGGAAACATTTTTCTATTAATATGTAATGCTGAATCATATGCAGTCTAGTGTGTGACTGCTAGAAGAAGATAAAAAAAATATCCTTGCCCTCAAGTCATCCTAGGTGTTTATGACTTTCTTCTTTCAGACGAGTACAATCAGAGTTATTAATAAACAACCTGATGCTTCCAATAATGGCAGTGAAATGCACCTTACATTTTGAAACCCAAAAACACACATCCATCTATCATAAAAATAATCTGTATGGCTCCATAGGTTAATAAAGCCCTTCTGAAGTGAAGACAAATATCCATCCATATTTATAACTCTAACTCATAAACTATAATCACTGGCTTTTGGTAACGGCCGTTTGCAAGTCGAGTTCCGCTGACCCGACGCATGACGAGTGACCTCTGACCCGACACATGATGAGTGACCTCTGACCCGACACATGACAAATGACCTCTGACCCGATGCATGACCCGGCGCATGACGAGTGACCTCTGACCTGACACATGAAGAGGGACCTCTGACCCGACACATGACGAGTTACCTCTGACCCGACGCATGACGAGTGACCTCTGACACGATGTATGACAAGTGACCTCTGACCCAACACATGACGAGTGACCTCTGACACGATGTATGACAAGTGACCTCTGACCCAACGCATGACGAATGACCTGACCCGACACATGACGAGTGACCTCTGACCCGACACATGACAAATGACCTCTGACCCGATGCATGACCCGGCGCATGACGAGTGACCTCTGACCCGACGCACGATGAGGGACTTCTGACCCGACGCATGACGAGTGACCTCTGACCCGACGCACGATGAGGGACTTCTGACCCGACGCATGACGAGTGACCTCTGACACGATGTATGACAAGTAGGGGTGTAACGGTACATGTATTCGTATTGAACCGTTTCGGTTCGAGGCTTCCGGTTCGGTACACATACAAACCGAACGAGTGCTTGGACCATTTTTCTTGCCGGCAAAATTCGTGCTGACGCGGCCAACACAACGTTGCGCAACATCAAATGGCAAGCGTGATGAAAGCAGAACGAAACTGCGCTCCTCGTTATGTGCTTCACGGATCGTTTATCAGTTCAGACCTGCAACATCTGTGCAGCGCGAGCCGATCTCGATCAAGCAACACTGTTACCACACCGCGCTAAGAGATCCGGTAAAGAAAACATTTGAATTCGCCACTGAGGTAATAACATCGCTGCGAGATCTAGTGAGAAGCATTCACATTTCTCCGTTATTAACCGTAGATCTCTATTAGATCAAACAGCGCTGTCATGGAAACCAGGAGAAACATTGTGCCGTGAATGAACTAGTAATACTTTACGTCCACAGACCAGCAACATTCACCATGGATTTAATATAGTAACACTAACTGGAACCAGTTTGGCTGGAATGGTGAAATGCTTTCAAGTATTTCACACATCTTTTTCCAGCACTTCAAAATTCAAATATTATATAAATAAATATATATTTAAATGTTATTTTTAATGTGATGACCAAAACATTATTTGTTTATCCTTCAAAGATGACCCCCATTTATAAACCTGAAAGTTTCAAGGTCTAGGAAAACTCACACTTATTTAAAAATATTTTTTCTTTAAACAAATAGGAAATTTCTCTGGCATTTCTTTCTTTTTGCTGTATCAAAAACGTACCGAACCGTGACTTTAAAACCGAGGTACGTACCGAACCGTGATTTTTGTGTACCGTTACACCCCTAATGACAAGTGACCTCTGACCCAACGCATGACGAATGACCTCTGACCCGACACATGATGAGTGACCTCTGACCAGACGCATGACGAGTGACCTCCGACCCAACGCATGACGAGTGACCTCTGACCCGACGCATGCCGAATGACCTCTGACCTGATGACTGACCTCTGACCCGACGCATGACGAGTGACCTCTGACCCGATGCATGACCCGACGCATGACGAGTGACCTCTGAACCGCCGCATGACGAGTGACCTCTGACCCGACGCATGACGAGGGACTTTTGACCCGACACATGACAAATGACCTCTGACCCGATGCATGACGAGTGACCTCTGACCCGACGCATGATGAGGGACCTCTGACCCGACACATGACGAGTTACCTCTGACCCGACGCATGACGAGCGACCTCTGACCCGACGCATGACGAGTGACCTCTGACACGATGTATGACAAGTAACCTCTGACCCAACACATGACGAATGACCTCTGACCCGACGCATGACGAGTGACCTCTGACCCGTCGCATGACGAGTGACCTCCGACCCAACACATGGCGAGTGACCTCTGACCCGATGCATGCTGAATGACCTCTGACCTGATGAGTGACCTCTGACCCGACGCATGATGAGGGACCTCTGACCCGATGCATGACCCAACGCATGACGAGTGACCTCTGAACCGACGCATGACGAGTGACCTCTGAACCGACGCATGATGAGTAACCTCTGAACCGACGCATGACGAGTGACCTCTGACCCGACGCATGACGAGGGACCTCTGACCCAACACATGACGAGTGACCTCTGACCCGACACATGACTAATGACCTCTGACCCGATGCATGACCCGGCGCATGGCGAGTGACCTCTGACCCGACGCATGACGAGGGACCTCTGACCCGACGCATGACGAGTGACCTCTGACACGATGTATGACAAGTGACCTCTGACCCGATGCATGACTCGACGCATGACGAGTGACCTCTGACCCGACACATGACGAGTGACCTCTGACCAACGCATGACGAGTGGCCTCTGACCCGACACATGACGAGTGACCTCTGACCGACGCATGACGAGTGGCCTCTGACCCGACACAAGACGTAATGAGGAACACGGAAGCGCAGAGGACAGAGTAAAACAAAACACCAGTCAAGAATTAAAAGTGTAAAACGAGAAAATATTTAAAGAGAAATGTGGGAGGAGCTTGAGTTTGTTGCCCAGTTCTATTTGTTTGAACATCCTACGCCATGCGTCAGGTCAGAGGTCACCCATCATGCATCGGGTCAGATGTCATGCGTCAGATCAGAGGTCACCCGTCATGCGTTGTTTCAGACGTCACCCGTGATGTGTCGGGTCAGAGGTCACCCCTCGTGGGTCGAGTCAGAGGTCACTCTTCCGCCAGAACTAGACTTGTGTACGACCGTAACCGGATTCTAGTTTATGAAGTTAGAAATATGGATGTTTTTCTTACAGAAATGCATGGCTTTGCTTCAGAAGGCCTATATTAAGTCGTATGGATTTATTTTATGATGGATGGGTCGTAGGTACCATTCACTCCCATTATACAGGTCCTATTTTCCATATGTAATGATAAAAATTAAACTTTCACATGTTTTAGAATCATTGCACACCAACTGAAATATTTCAGGTCTTTTATTGTGTTAATACTGATGATTTTGGCATACAGCTCATGAAAACCCAAAATTCATATCTCAAAAAATTTGCATATTTCATCCGACCAAGAAAAGAAGTGTTTTAATGCAAAAAAAAAAAAAAGTCAGCCTTCAAATAATTATGTTCAGTTATGCACTCAACACTTGGTCGGGAATCCTTTTGTAGAAATGACTGCTTCAGTGCGGCGTGGCATGGAGGCACTGCTGAGGTGTTATGGAGGCCCAGGATGCTTCGATAGCGGCCTTAAGCTCATCCAGAGTGTTGGGTCTCTCAACTGTCTGATAGGAATTTTGGGTTTTCATGAGCTGTATGCCAAAATCATCAGTATTAAAACAATAAAACACCTGAAATATTTCAGTTGGTGTGCAATGAATCTAAAATATATGAAATATTAAAATATTCTATTTTTTTTTTAGAAGGACCTGTAAGGCTTGGAAAAGAGCCAGGATATTTTTTTATTCTGGCTCTTCCAAATGCTTCAAACTTGGAAGTACCCTTTGTGATGAACATAATAGAACGTTTTTTTTTTCTTCTTTCTATTTTGGATGTTTCTGTGAAAGGAAGAGGAAGCTGTCAGAGGAGAGAGAGAGAGAGTGAGTTGTAATGGTTGTGGAGCGGGGCCAGTCGTGCTGTGAAGGGCCTCTATTGTTCATGAAGTGGGTCTTTACACGGTTTCCTGCTCGTGTTCATTAATCTTCTAATGAGCCCTCGGAAGAAGCATCTACATCTTGCTGTCAGCTCAACTGCAAATCCATTCAGAAACGCCACCAAAACCACATACTGTGCACAATGCCAGTCTCTTCTGTTTATCAAGGCTGCTTTTAATTATTTGATGGAAAATACAGTAAACCTGTAATATTGTGAAATAATATTATAATTTATTCCTGTGATCAAAGCTGAATGTTCAGCATCATTACTCTTCAGTCTTCAGTGTCACATGATCCTTCAGAAATAAAGTCTAATTATTAATGCTAATCAAACGACAAAAGAGAAAATCTCTCACTGCTCGTCTTAAGCGCTTTTGTAACTTTAGTAAGAATAAATGTGTATTTAATTAATACATTAATGACAATGCGTGTTTTTTTTTATACATTTGATTACTTTATACATTATATCCAGTATTTCTGGTTGTTTTTCAGGTAGCTCTGTTTAACTTGTGTCGATTGTAGTTTGTTTTCTTTGCTCTTTTTTATTTCTGTTTAGCTTGAGAGTTTTTTTAGGCTAGAATTAGTTTTTAAAAATCGTGATAAGAATGATGGATTTCAAAAATGTATTTAAAGCAAAAACAACTATATTGTGATGCATATCGTTATCTTGAAATAATAATATTACTCATATCCTGATATTTGTTTAGTCGTATCGCCCACCCCGAGAAACCCTGATACTTTATTTTCCAAGATTCTTTGATGAAAAGAAAGTTCAAACGAACTTCATTTATTTAAAATATACTAATTTTGTATCGTAATAAATGTCTTTACTGTCACTTTTGAATAATTTAATATGTCCTTGCTGAATAAAAGTTTTTTTTTTACCCCAAACATTTGAATGGTAGTGTATCTCAGTTTCCACAGAAATATTTCAACATTGATAATAATCAGAAATGTTTCTTGATCATCAAATCATCATATTAGAGTGATTTTTGAAAGATCATGTGACACTGGAGTAATGATGCTAGAAATACAGCTTTGATCACAGGAATAAATTACACTTTACTATATATTCACATAGAAAACAGCTGTTTAAAAAATGTAATAATATTCAATATCAAAGAAATGCAAAAAAAAAAAACCAAACACATTTATTCCTTTTGGCCAATATAATATAATATAATATATTTCCTCTGCCCTGCATTGTCAAATGAAATTAATAAATTTAGTTAAAAAACAAAATAATAAACTGCAACTTCGTCCTGTTGTCCAGCAGAAGGCAGTGTCACACCATCAACACACACACGTATGTGAGGCTCTTGTGAAATGTACTAATGATGTTTGCTTTGGCTTCTCGTGTCAGATCACTAATACATAGATAAAGATGTAAACATGAATTGCACTATCGTTTCTTTTAGGCTAAATGTCATTTTTTCATACGCGAGCACTTGTCTAACTGAATAATGTCTCTCTTTTCCTCTCAGATAACGATGAGTACAGACCTCCCGTGTGGAAATCCTATTGTAAGTGTACTTTATAATTCAGCGACATATAAAATTTTCTTTGCAGTAAGATCTCACAAGTTAACATAATTCTAGTTTTATCTGGAGAGTACAGCTAATGAAAAGTTATTTCAACTGTATTTTCAAGAAAACAAAACATACATAGATAGATACGTTATGTACGGAGCCCCTAAAGGGACATTTGAAAAAATATAATATAGACTTTAACGTGCGCACGAGAAACGTTAAAACTCTCGAGATACGTTTCTCGTGAGCACGTGGAAGTTTTGCAAAGGTCCGTTTAAAAGGAGTCCGTCGTTCGTGTAATTAATAACCGGTATATTCCCTTGTCCTGTGTGACTGTAATAGTGTACCAGCTCCAGCAGGAGGCGCCGCATCCACGCAGGGTCACGTGCACATCTGAGGTGAGTGTGTGTGAACATCGAGTCTAGAATCGCAATGCAACACAAATAGGCTCTGAAAATGAAAGGGTTTCAATGAATGTATAAATGTAAGACTTTTAAGCACACAAACATGACAGACAAAAACTTTTGAGTGGATTTGAGTGGGGTTTTGTGAGGCTCGAAGCTGGAGGAAGACACATTATTAATGTTTGCTCAGTTACAACCCTCAGTTCAGATAGTTTGTTGGTATTTCTGTGCATGGTATAAAAGGAGTATTATATAGGTCACCCATCTTCACTGAATTACTAATGCATGTGTTAATTGCACGAGGGTCTAGACTTCTGGTCCTCCAGAGGCGATATAAACAACACACCAGAGGAGAAGTGCGCCGCTCCATTACTCAGGCTGATATTAGTGGCAGTAATTAAGGATGCTGCTGTTGAATTATTCATCTGTATCATGAAAATCTTGTGTTTGTGCTGCGTTTAGAGACGGGGGTGAGACATTTAAACTCATTGGCCTGTCCCAACACTGTCTGCAGGGTTTCATGAACGGATGAACATTAATTATGAAATCTGATGGTCACTGTCAGCTGCTGTTTGGGAGCTTCTTTAATGATAATATTAGGAATTTATAATATGGTGGTGATCATATTGGTATTCATTTAATTAGGAATTAATTACTGCTTCTATCCTCATTTTTACCTTAAAATGAAACGCAAGCCATTGGAAAATAAAGCCTTTTTTTAGGACTTTTTTATTTATTTATTTATTTTTCCACAAAAATTTAACTTATTTATCCCCAGTAAAAAAAGCTGTAGCTCAATTATTGTTATTATTTAATTATTTAAATCAGCAGAAATTATAAGCAGCGCAACAAACACTGTGATGGTTCAATTCTTAAAATCAAAATTTTATTTAATATATTTATTTCATTTGTCTTTCAGAATTTAGAATTAAGTTAAAAAAGAGCTAGTTACATTTCACCCCAAAATGAAAAGAACAATAATTTGTACTTATTTTTTTTGTCTAAAAAAAATTTGTTGTTGCTTTGTGAAAATTTTCATGACAATAAATGCATTCATCCCCAGTAAAAGTACAAAAGTACAATGATTTTGTTTTACATTTATTGCATATTGGTATTCATTTAATTAAGAATTACGTTTTTATTAGGCCTGCACTGCTTCTATCCTCATTTTCACCTTAAAATGAAACCCAAGTAATTTGAAAATAAAGCCTATTTTAGGACTTATTTATTTATTTTTCCACAATTTATCCCCAGTAAAAATTACTGTAGCACAATTATTATTATTATTATTATTATTTAAATCAGCAGAAATTATAAGCAGCACTCTAATGGTTTAATACTTAAAATCAAAATTGTATTTAATATATTTATTTATTCATTCTTTCAGAATTTAGAATTAAGTTAAAAAAGAGCTATACATTTCACCCCAAAATGAAAAATTTTTACTTATTTTTTGCCTAAAAAAATGTTGCTGCTGCTTTGTGAAAATTTTCACGACAATAAATGCATTCATCCCCAGTAAAAATACAATAGTACAATGATTTTGTTTTACATTTATAGCATTAATGCAGTGATAGTTGAAATACTATTTATTCATTCATTCAGAATTCAGTTTGATTCTGCCCTTTTTTTTCTTTTGCATTGACATTATTTTCATATTAAACATTAATGACTGTAGTACAAATTATTTTTTTAATCAACATAAATTACAGGCTGCACAACAAATACCACAATGGTTTAACATTTAATTGTACTTATTTTTTTATATTGCATTGGTAAAAAAAAATCGTACAGATCATTAGGCTAAATTTTCTTTAAACAAAATGCAAAATTAATTTTGCAATGAAATATATCCTGGATATTTCTTGACAAGTTTCCCTATTTTTCTGCTCATCTACTGACTTTTACTCTTCTTCTACTCTTCACAAGCTTTTCTGTATTTGTTTTAAAAACAGGCAAACATAAGCGATCCCTCACGAGTGCTGAAGCACTACTAATAGTAGTTTTGGTGTGACTGTGTTTTATATATTTGTATGTTCTCATTGATCATAAAGAGCATGCTCCTCCAGAAAGCCATATGCTGTATTGCCTCTTAAAGCCGTGTGTGTTTTAATAAGATGTTGATCTGCTGAACACTGATGGTGTCTCCTGCTGTTCGCACAATTCAGCAGGTATTTTACACACACACCCCCTCTCAGCTGACTGGACGTCTTCTTAATTAATGCTGGATTAACATTAAACAGATGCACACTGCTCTTCATGTTTATCTCGAGGGCTTCTTAAGGATTCATTCTGGCCCGCTCCTCGCTCTGGGCTTCTGGCCATTATCTGCTCCTGTAAAGCGCATCAGTCCAGTGCGGGGCGGGGGGTTATTGTGCCAAGAGGTTTAACCCTGTCTAATCCCCTTCAAATGGCCCCACATTTATGTATTTTTTTGCATTCAGAACATGCAAATCAGTGAGCAGAGTCCTCACACACACTGTCCAGAGCTCAGCACACAACTCACAGGACACTTCAGAAAGCGTTCGGCTTTCCTTTTATCAGGAGTCATGATGACAGATAGTGCTTTTGCTTCAGGACTCTTACATTAGACATAAGTGGCGACCTCAGGGGCCTGTCTAATTTTAAACCCACAACCCGTACTTGTAATCTAGGTCATAATATATATTTTTTTCCTTGTGGTTTTTCACTGACTATGTTTACATGCAGCCAATAACCCGTTCAAAACCGGGATATTAGCCATAACCCGGTCATGTAAACACCGACAAAAACCCGAATATGCTCATATCCTGGATTTTAAAAACCGGGATATTATACCTGGGGTATCCCTTTTCTAACCCGAATTTTTGGTCATGTAAACGCGTATCTGCATATCCCCATAGTGATTTGTGTTCTGCGCATGTTCTTTTTGAGTAGAGAAACTTCTCGGCGCATACAAAAATCTGCGTGCAGTATACCGGAAGTAAACATGGCGAGACGCAGCACAGCATACTTTTGGAGCGAGCTCAGTAACGTTACCAGCATCTATGCGCAAACAAAGGCGATTGCTATCTGCCCCGAACTATTCATTATCCGCCTGGCGCCTGCTGCTGTTGTTTTTTTTTGGATACAGGAAGAAGAATCGGAAATGACACGTATTGCGTCTTAAGGTTTAGACGCAAACCGCGCGTCGCCGTTTACATCGGGATATTGCAATTCCATGTATACAGGAGAAACTCTCTCCGCTCACGCATGTAAACGGGTTCTTCCGAATGTTTCAGAAGGCCAGATAATGACCTTAACCGGACCATAACCCGAAAATTGTCTGCATGTAATTAAACGTAGTCAATGTTAAGTGTTCAGCAAACACAAAATGGTACAATTTTGAAAGTTTTCTGCAAAAATGATAAAAAAGATAATTACTTGAGACCCAGGAATACATAGTTGCCAGGATTTTTTAAAAATAATTTATACGCTGAAATAGGTGTTCTGGTTTCTTAGTTTGCTCATTTTCAAAATTTGTTTTCATTAACACAAATATCTATTCACCCAATCACATGGCAGCAACTCAATCCATTAGTCAAGATGATCTGCAAGATCAAGTTCAAGTGCAAGTTCAAACTGAGCATCAGAATAGGGAATACAGTTGATTAAAGGGTTAGTTCACCCAAAAATGAAAATTAAGTCATTAATTACTCACCCCCATGCAACCCCGTAAGACCTTCGTTCATCTTCGGAACACAAATAAAGATATTTTTGATTGAATCTGAGAGCTGGATCAGTCCAGGGACTGGCTCTTGAGTCTTGACGGCCCATAAAGTCATTAAAGAAAAGGTTTGAATATTCCATGTGCCTACAGCGGCTCAATTATAAGTTTATCAAGTGTCGAGAATACTTTTTGTGCGAAAAAAACATAAATAACGACTTTATTCCACTATTCCATTACTTCCTTATGGGCGCATGCGCGAGAACTGAGACGAGGACGTTCTCATTCGTCTACTTCTTGTTACCGGCTGCTCACCGCTTAGGAGTTTTACCGCCCCCTACCGTATAAAATGATGATCCATATATAACGCGCTCCGGATTATAAGGAACACTGTCGTTTTTTGAGAAGATTAAAGGCTTTTAAGTGCACCTTATAGTGCGGAAAATACGCAAATTGAAAAGCGTATGTACAGCGCGCATCTTCCTCTGCTTGTAAACAGAAAGTTTTGCGCCTCCAGCTATATCAGCACATCATCTTATACGGTAGGGGGCGGTAAAACTCCTAAGCGGTGAGCAGCCGGTAACAAGAAGTAGACGAATGAGAACGTCCTCGTCTCAGTTCTCGCGCATGCGCCCATAAGGAAGTAATGGAATAGTGGAATAAAGTCGTTATTTATGTTTTTTTCGCACAAAAAGTATTCTCGTCGCTTGATAAACTTATAATTGAGCCGCTGTAGGCACATGGAATATTCAAACCTTTTCTTTAATGACTTTATGGGCCGTCAAGAGCCAGTCCCTTAGGCAGTCTATAGTATAGGACTGATCCAGCTCTCAGATTCAATCAAAAATATCTTAATTTGTGTTCCGAAAATGAACGAAGGTCTTACGGGGTTGCATGGGGGTGAGTAATTAATGACTTAATTTTCATTTTTGGGTGAACTAACCCTTTAACGTGACTTTAATGGGTTTCAGAAACTGCTGATCTACTGGGATTTTCACAAACAACCATCTCTAGGGTTTACAAAGAATGATCAGAAAAAGAGGAAAAATGCAGTGAGAGTCGGTTCTGTGGGAGAAAATGGCTTGTTGAGGTCAGAGGAGAATGACCAGACTGGTTTAGCTGATAGAAAGACAACAGTAACTCAAATAAGCACTTGATACAACCGAGGTCTGGAGAAGAGCATCTCTGAACACACAACACACCAAACCTTGAAGCAGAAGAGCATCTCTGAACACTCAACACATCAAACCTTGAAGAAGAAGAAGAGCATCTCTGAAAACACAACACACCAAACCTTGAAGCAGAAGAG